ATTCTCGAAGCTGTGAAAAATGCTCAATCTTTAAATTCAAGCATCATTCGTAAACGTCACAGTATTATCGCTGAGATGGAAACAATGTTAAAATTATGACGTAATAATCAAGTAAATGTGAAAAATTGTAAAATAATATAGGCCTAATTTGTTATATATATGTATTATCTAAGATTTTATTAAACATTTTTTTCTAAATTATTGTTTTCTTTAGTCTCCGGCCCCAATTAAAAAATTATTTGTATTTATATGCGAAATTATACCCCGACTTACGCGATTACCGTTCGGTCCCATTTATCGCGTAAGTTCGGGGTATTACTGTATATTATTTATATATATAAATTATAATATATATCATTTTCTCACATACAGTATAAATATATGGGAAAATGTCGTTAAGAGAGCACATAGTGGCGGCTAATTACAGAACAATCCGTATCCGTAGTTTTGTTTTTTACCACGAGATGTCGCTACTTGGTGACGTCAAGAACATGGTCTATATAAGAAGGTCAGGGCCGTGTTCAGTAACGCAGAATTTTTGCTAAGTCTAGTTATGCTGCAATGCTGAACTCTTTTCCAACTACTGCTTGACTCCTCCCACCACTAGCTTGTTTTATGTATTCTTAGCTACGCCCACTAAGCCACTCAGAATTCTAACTTAGATGTTCTGCTACTGAACATGGCCCAGGACACGCCCGATCTACTTCTTGAGCCGCCATTTTGGGGTTTTTTGAGTCGCATATTTTAAGCAAACTTGTACGAACAGTCAGTTTTATACGACATTAATTAAACTAAAATCGCATAAATCCAGTGATTTCCAATCAAAAATATAATAATAATTTCGGATGATGTGTTGTTTGTTCGCTACGTATGCCTAAGCCGTCAATGCTACGAAACTCAGCAGTTACGGAGACAGGTAGCATATAGCACTTGCCTGAGTGGAATCGAAATTGCTACCCTGTGAAAAGTCTATAAGTATTCAATTATCCACATCTAACAACGGGTTTTTTCGTTTCCCAAAGATACTTTCTTAATTTTAATAAGCGCCCTAATTCGATGAAACATTCATCAGATAATGCGCATCGTACCTTGATTAGAAATAAGTAGCTCGATATCATATTATCTCGGTCAATTTATTATTAAACATTAAATACATAAAGTTTTGAATCAACAGTTAAATATTAAGTATGAATTACAAGACTTTTTAGACTGGAACCTAATTTCCAGACACCGAAAATAAAAAGTTTATCGATGACTTTCAAAATCGACTTTCTCGGTGTCGTATTTTAAAATATCGAAGTGATTCGATACGCTTTGGAGTACATTTTATATTTATTTATTAATATTTTAAATTCATATTTCTTATATGTAAAAATAATTATAACATAATATAAATAAGATCCGGTACAATAAATATAGCATCATCATGTAAATGTGGTAAAAGTTTCTTTCTGAAATTTGAAATAATATAAGAGAGCTTCTGAGCACATTTATACTTTATTTTCACCCATCCATATTATTAATACCCTCCTTAACTATATCGATAGTCTTTCTTTTCTGTCCTTTCACCTTTCATCTGACTTACCACATCAAACATTATGTTATTCTATATAAGCTGCCGACAGGTATTTCAAACTATATGAAGACAAACTAATTTTCAAATACTATATAAAAATGCAGTAATTTTGAAATGAAAAACTAAATTAATAATTCATACAGTTGACTTGAAAATTTAATACTGTAATTGTTTCGATGCTATTATTACTGAAACAATGAAGACGATTCTTGCATTGTAAGGCCATTTATTTCATAATTTATTGTTCATAATATCGTAGGGCTGTTAGATTTCGAGTGCCCGAGAGCACGCTTTTGTCTGACATGCAACCCGGGAGCTCGAATCCAAGGATTCTTAATTAATTAATTAAGTAGTCTAATTAATTAAAAATTCTTGGATTAGAGATACTAGATCCTAGATACTTAATTAATCTAAGTATCTAGCAATCCTGTAATATTTATTATTACAGGATTGCTAGATACTTAGTGCCAGGTATAACACAAATTACACGCTCCGTCTGACTCAGTTTGGAGGGCAATAAGCTGTCATCGGCGCCAGGTAGCAGAGCCGGCCCTACCATAGGGCGAAAGGAGCAGCCGCTCCAGGCGCTAAGTCCTAGGGGGCGCCTCAGTGGTAAAGAAAATTAAAGGGTATAAATTTGGGGCAACCAAGGGCAGTGGCGTAGCGAGGGGGTGCAAGGGGGTGTATCAAGCACCGGGCGCCACTCGCAGAGGGGCGCCCAAATGGTCTCCAAGACAAACTATATGTGTTTCTGGAGGGGGCGCCAATAAAGTGTCGTGCCCCGAGCGCCAGTTATGTTCACTACGCTACTGACCAAGGGGGCGCCATAATAGGATCTCGCTCCATCCTAAAACTTGCCTCGGGCCGGCACTGCCAGGTAGGTATTAATGCATCAATCGGAACGAAATTTAGATTCAGAAACAAATGGATGGACAAGATAGACGACGGCCTAAGAAAAAGGACCGATGACGTAACGCTGGCGTGTGCAGAGGAGTGGCGAAAAGATAGAGGTCTTCGGTCCACGACTACACTATTGAGGATGAAGCAGCACGAATTTCGATATTTGGACGATTTCGTCGGTTTCATTACAACACTTCCTTACAAACACCACTCGCAGTAACATTCACAATTGAACCATTATCTAGTTTGTTCGTCGCATCCAATCATTTACATATCACGCTTCGTTACAGTAAACGACACCGTCACATAACACCAACACCGCTTCCCGAAATCCAACCCCTAGGTCCTCGTCCTGGGAAGTGGAAACGTCACTCGATGCTTTCAAGTGGCGGCTAAAGGGGCTCTGGTACACCGGATATAATAAAAGGGTTCGAAGTACCCTTTTATTATATCATATTGTAGTATTTGATTTATATAACTAGAAAGGATGTCTTATGCCAGGGTGACCAATCGAACACACTATAAATATTCTTTAAATTGCTCGCCGGTAATCTCGTATTATGTAACTTGTTTTATTAATTTGAAAAAGAATATAGACCTATAAATTCCGACTGTTGTCTGTTCTTGTTTAATATGCAAAACAGAGTTAGATAACCGACACGACTGTACTGCTATCAGGAAAAGTATAATGTGCAGGGGTAAGACACCACTAAAAGAATTGAAAACGTGACGAAAAGTTGCCCGGCATTAGAACGATGTCAATAAATAATCGCTCGTTAGAATTAGTTTGGTTTATTCGGTTACGGCAACGCGACACGCCAGCGATCTGCCGAGGGGAATGCATCCCCGGAAGACTTTTGTGTAAAGCTGGCCGCTATTTGTGTGTTACTAACGTTAAGAAAACCAGAAAACTGAGAAACTTGAGAAGGTATGTTTCTCAAGTTTATGCAGCACTCGCAGCAAAGCGTTTCTAAACGAAGCGTTATTATGTAGCAAACCATTTCTAAACTATAATGCAGCCGCATGTAGCCATAGCTGCTCTTGACGTCATTTTCGCTACATAAATGCTGCCATTGATAAGGCAACACGAAACCTGACTTACCTCCTGGGCGTAGCGAGGGGGGAGCCTGGGTGGGCACGGCCCCTCCCAGGGAACCTGGTGCCCTCCCCAGGAAATCACAGCCGAAAAAGTGTTGAGTCGATTTGTAAAAACCTAAAGCTAAAATAAAAGTTTTGAATACTAAAAAAAGGTGAACGGCTTGCTCGGTGCCCAATAATGAACAATAATTTGAAATAATTCAATTTTGTGTCAGGTTGGCCTCCACTAGGCCCCCCATAACAAAACTCTGGCTACGCCCATGCTCCTGGGATGTTTATTTACTTTTATTTCCCTGTAAACACTAAGAGGCCAATTAAGTCCATCGAGAATGCCAGACCTAAATGGGGAGTTACCCCATTTAGGTACTGGATAAGTGGAGGATGGTTGCGACCCTCGTCCCTCAATTCAATTCCCATCCTTCCTGTGACGATTCAATTTCCGCGAAGAGAACGTCCTGGCCTCTGTCTGCTTCATTTGTCCCAGCTGAAGTTTACCATATCTGAATAATGACCAACAACTAGATTATTCTCAATTTATTTCATAAAATTTACTTCTTTTTTTAATCATTAACACAACGGGAAATTTGGCTAGAAACGATTTTTATATTATTGCATATAATAAACATTATAAGTGCATACAAAAAAAATTGATATATTACACAACTCGTTAACATATTTTTCACATCAATTATAATACAAAACAATACATATTTTATGTATAAACATCACATAAAATTATGAAAAATATCAAAATTAACTGTTCTCTTATTTTATGGGGTATGCAATTTCTGAATATCACAACAAAACTTTTATATACTGTATATATATATAGAAGCAGATCTGCCCTGCTAAGTACTGAAGTGAGGGGCAAAATGAGTTTGGGAGTCGGAGATTCGGTGCGGAAAATGATCAAGAACCTTTATTTTATGCCGAATTTTAATTCCGAAACAACTCAGAACGGATGCCAGAAAAGAATCCTACAAATCCTTCTAGATTCGGAGAAGAATAAGTGTCCTCGAGCATCTACAATCTTCCAAAACTCGAAAATGTGACTCGAAATAGTAAAAACTGATTTCCCATTCGTGAATCGATTTTCTGAAATTCATTTCGATGAATTTTACAAATATTTTAGTTGGATAATGCATACATTTCAACGTAACGGTAAATTACACTGGGGCTACGATTACTTGTGAGAAAAATAGTAATTTCTGCTTCGAATATAGAGAAGATCTACGTCGATGGATTCCGTAATGACTGATGTTTTTCGTATTTGTACAATCGTGGATATAGGAATGAGCTTTAACATCTTCGAGATTTTATGTTTGCATGGTTAGCGGCTGGAAAAGAATCCCATTCGGACTGATACGGATTAGAAAAAATTGAAGTATCCGCATCTGGGAATACTCCTTGGCAAGAAATATAAATGAAAAGTCATTTGTCCTTTAAATGAAAATTTTGTGGAATGGTACAAATTAATAATTACACATATTTATTTACAAAATTTTGTTTATAAATGTCACTTTGTTATTTATAAACTGAATAATTTCACTTTCGTTTACTTCTTCCCTTTCCTTCATAAATACAGGAATTGTGTACATAATTGTTTCCGTGTCGAGTAATGCCACATTTGAACCCGTTAAATAAATGAAGTTTGGTTTCCGATTTCACTTAAGCCAAATTTAAATCCAACGAGACTTAAACAGGATTTTTTAAAAATTTCTTTAAAAATCAGATTAATTTTGTAAATTTCTTCTAAAATGCACCGATTAGATACTAATATGTTAGAATGCTAAAATTACTACACGACAAGAAATCTTATCCGGGCGCGGGTACAGCACTCGGGGCCAAAACGAAAATAAATGAGAAGACTGTCGACGAGAATGGTACACGCAAAGCTTTACGGTGGAGACGAAGACGTCGAGGATAGACTGGTTGTCCTTTCTAGCCGGCGGTGACGATATTTTTCTATCTGTGGCATGAAATCTATTTTTTCACTAAAGAAATCGATAAGGGGTTGTTCCATGTGAACAGTAGCCAGAAGTTGCTCTAGACTGATAGACCACATATTGTCACATCTTGCGGTGGCACTCTCCGTGCTGGAGATGCTCTGCCTCTCCAAGGTCTCTTCATTCGGAATCTCTTCAGGACTAGTGGGACTGTTGACGGCTGTGGCTTGTCTGCTCTCCGTGAAGAGACTGTCCGAAGATATGTCACTCTTTTCCATCATGCTCTTACCGAGTTCTCCAATCTCCAAAAGCATGGTGCCTTGGAAAACGGTGAAAATAATTTAATCATTTTACTATATAAATTTTACTATTATTTTATGTTGTAATCATTCAAAAGACATAGAACAGCATGTCTCTTGAATGTGTGTAACTGAGTGCAAAAATATCTCTCTGGAATGCATGTCCCCCCAAATACATTTATCAGAGTGCAAAAGCATGCCCCTGAATGCACTTAGAGTGCAAAAGTGTGTTCCCTGAATACAAAGCTGTCTCCTTAATGCATGTAACTGAGTTCAAAAGCATCTCTTGAATGTGTATCCAAGTGTGAAAGCATGTTGTTTTGAACTTACCTGTTACAGCAATTGAATGATACAGAGCTTGTTCATTGGCATGACCTTCAAACATATCATACAGAGTCTTCAACAACTGAATGAATTGATCCTGCATAAAATAAATTTTGCATTAAGTCAATTCATATATTTTGCTCCTCTTTCATCTAAAAAAACACTTACCTGACTCATGTGCGGAATGCTCTTGTTGTCTCCATTGTTTTTGATCATAGAATAATTATAAATATTTTTGTATGTGGTAGAGGTTGCTCCTGAATCTGTTAAATGAATTTTTAAATGAATTTATCAAGCTATGAATGTCTCTTTTCTATAAGCAGTACGTGCAAACTAAAACACAACTCTAGTCTCTTAGAAAGTAATTGTGGGGAGTAAAAAACATACTGAAACTTACCAAAAATATCTGTTATCTAAAAGACAAAACTTTAATACAAGATAGAAAAAAAAAAAAGAAAATGTAAAAATTTTATAGCTAAACTTGTTTCACTTTCAGGAAACAAGATGACACTTCCACTGCTTCATTCCTGACTCGATTTTTCGAAGCAAAAACTTAGCAATCGTATAATAATAATTACAAATTTTTTCCATTGTCAAGTCTATTTATATAGAATAACAATTAAATTATCCTTAGCTTCTAAAGAAAATAAATAAATTCAGTATTTTTACCTGATATAGAACAATCGACGGAGCCACTGGATATGTTGTAATCCACACATTTCGAACCGATGTCGCTATTATTTGTTTTATTACTTAAACTATGACCAGCTGATATGTTTGAAAATAAAGAATCTCCAGAAGAAGGGCTCCATGATTGATCCAAAGAACTGAAGTATTCTTCGGCTTCAGTTGCTACTTCTGTGTCATCTTTTTTAAACCAAAAAGATATATTTCTGATAGGTTTCAAGATAATCATCTTTTTAATATAATTATTTATTTGACAATTTATACCTGGATAATGCAAATATGCCAGCAGATATGAATTATCAAATTGAAAATACCGATTTGCATTTCGACCCTTAGCAAAACCAATTTTGTTTCCTCGATAATTAGCGCGTTTCAGAAACAAGATCTAGTTCTAGCTGCAGTTTTCTTGTGTGATTAACTTTTCAACAGTGGACTAGTCAGGTATGGTTCTACCCCCAGTAGTGGAGAATAAACGTGGGAAATTTTTAAAGTATTTTTCCACGCGTTTTTTTCTCATTACTGTTTTGGAAATAGATTTTGTAAACAGTTATGTCTAGTAAAGAAAAGTCTTTTTTTATTGTTACACATAATTCATTTTTTATGTAAATTTTTTTTCACAGTAGTTTTCAGCAATACCCCCCAAAAGAATTTGATGACTATAGTCATCCCTCACCACTGCCACACAATCGCCCCTGATGACTATAGTCATCACTCACTGCTGAGTGGTTAATGCATATTTTACAACTGTTTTTTGACATTACGAGCTTCCAAATACAAGATAAATATCACTTTTTGAATGTTATCAAAGTACTCGTGAAGAATATAAGAATTATTTCAACAAATTTATGTCAGTTTTCTTGTGTTTAAAGCTGAAAAACAAGTGTGGAATTCACATTAATCATTGATATATGCCATTATTCGCTAGTAGTTAACAACAGTCAACTACTGGTTCAGATTAACTGCAGAGGAGAATGGGCATAACCATGGTTTAGACAAACCTTGTAACTGAAAGTGACCAAACATGTATAATGATTTTACTATTTGTGATTCAAATTTTAACAGTAATTGGGCTGCAATTTGAAAAAATTTTGTACATCTATAAATTCCCACTGTCTTTCCTTAATCTTGAGAACAGTGTTAGATAATTTTCTTTATTTAATAATTTTATAAAAGTGCCAGGACAATAATTGTAAAATTAAGACTGTTATTTTCCCGAGGTGTGAGAAAGGACTAAGAAAGAAAGACTTTTTATTGTATAGTCATAAACTGTTTTATTAATTTTCTTTATGTTTGTTTGAGCAATGAAGAAAATCAATGCTGGAAAGTAATTTGTTAATTTTCTTCAATGTGTTGGTTATAAAAAATAATATACAGTGGTACCTCAGGTTACGAACGCCCCAGCATACGAAATTTTCAGCATACGAATACGACATGAAATTCGAACATATTTTTGCTCCACAATACGAACAAAAACTCACCATACGACGTTACATTAGTTCGCATTTTTCATTTGTTTTTTTTACTACAGTTATTTTTTTAAATGTATTACTTGGCTTTAATTTGAGTATTTTTTCGCGTTGGAACAAATTATTTGGTTTTACATGTAATCGTATGGGAAAAGATGATCCACCTTACGACATTTTCATGATACGATCTCAGTTTCGGAACGGATTAATTTCGTATCCTGAGGTACCACTGTAAACCAAAATAAGAAATATTCATATTTTCAAATTGTAACAGAATATCTGATCTCAGGTCCCCAGTGTGGTAAGCTCTGGGGATCTGTGATCAGATGATAAAAAAAAATAAACAGGAATTATCTGGTAGGTGGTCCATCTGAATATGTTATGCCCCATCCCTCACCAGCCAGCACAACTTTGTGGACCTGATTTAACCTATAATAGGCTTGTTAAAGAGTCCCTCTTACCCCCATATTCACCAACACCAGTTAGAGTTAATCTCGAGTTAACCAATGACCATTTGTTTTACTTTTAGTACGTGATCGCTCATTGGTTAACTTTTAACTCTAACTCATGTTGGTGAATACAGGGGTTAGTGTCTACAAGGCAGAGTTAAAAGAATTCATTCCATTATAAATACCAATAATCTAACTTATTGCATGAGAAACTCTTAAGCATTCAATCTAAACCGGAAATTTTGTAATAAACACTTACTAAAAACATTAATTTCATGCATTATTCAATACTAATTTACTGTTACAACACTGACAGGATTATATCAGAAACAAATTTATCTAACCTATTCAATCAGATATGAAAATCAATCACAAGTGTTACTTCTGTGACAAAATAATACCCGAACAACCATACAAAACTAATTTTACAGGATCAAAATTTACATTTTGTGTACTTATGTTCATGCAATTTTGCAGGTTTAACAGGCTTAATGTCCATTACTTTGTGGTCAATGTGGAGGACACACTGTACATTAAAAAAACACAAAGTAGCATTTGAGGAGTATTTTTAAATAGTAGTTAAATACATTTCCGATGCTTTATAATACATTTCAATTAATACTAATTAGATTTCATTATGTTACTATTCTATAGAAATCCACTGCCTTAGAATCACACTGAAAACAGTCATTAACGGATTCATTGCATTACAGTTCCATCCATAAACATGGCTGTCTGTCTTTGAAAGGCTATGAACAGCAAAGTCATTTGCTATAATGGAAAGCAGTGGATTACTTGGTGTCCAATGCAGATATTTGGGATTTACAGTCATTTTTGAATACAACACATGCCACGTGTCAAATTTGGACTTTCGATCAAAACAAAAATTTAGAGCTGCTGGGAAGTGGCATTGTCGATTTTGGTTTGGTAACATCAATATCATATATAAAAATAAACTTTTATTGATTGTTTTATGTTTAATCTATGGTTTTTAGTAGTGTTTTATGCATTGCAACATATTCACTGTAATAAAATACAACTGTCCAACCTTAAAGAGATCTTGTAATTTATCTTTTCAGTTTTAAAGGAACACATTTCCCTTTATAACACACAACACTACCATTTCTCTTTTGTGTACATTTTGAGGAATGTATTAAGTCCAAAAGTCAGGTGCCGTCCATAATTTGAGTTTTGGATGCAATCTTGAAACTATTCAAGTTAACTATGACATGAAATTTAAGAAATATTAATTGTTTCACAAATGTCCAAAACAAACATAAAATAAAAAAAAAAAAAAAAAAAAAAAAAAAAAAAAAATGAAAAGCTAATAAGAACATAAGAACAGTACAGGGTGGCCATAATTAAAGTTCAGAGTACTTTACAGCTGTGACTAATAAGCAGACTGACAGCAAAATTTGTATACAGACTATTCAAAGGATGTGAGAAACGATTTTTCAAAAAAATTTAATTCAAAAACTTCTTCTAGGTGCTATTTGCCATATATGGTTTGGAATATGGTTTATCATGGAAATGTTGCAACTTTGGCAGACTTAAATGATTGTATTACACTGCACGTGCAAAGCATCACTGGAGAGAAGTTGTGGTGGTCCGCTGTAAAACATACCATTTGTCTTGTCTTAAAATTTGACACCCAAACAACGAGGCATGCACTTTGAGTAACATTCCTGATGTCAGTAAACAGTTTCTGCAGAAGACACGTCCCTTGCAGAATGAATAAATGTATTTTTTGTTTTGTGTATTTTCCTATAAAGTGCTTTCTAGTGGAAATTTTTGAACTAAATTTGATTTTGCAAAATCCTTCGCGGCATCCCTTGCATAGTCTGTTTACAGATTTTGGTGTAAATTTGCTTATTGGTTACAGCTAGAGTGCTCCAAACAGGAAACTTGAATTACGGCCAGCCTGTATATAGATGTTAATAACCGAAAATCAATTAGAATTGCTACAGAATTTCCCACCGAGCAAATTATATCAAAGCCAACATTTAAATCCATAGCATAAGTAGATCAGTCACTAAAGTTAACCCAAGTGTGTCCAGAAGTTCATCTCCAAGGAACAAAACACCACATGTAGTGTTTATGTATACCAAGAATGTATGGGACAAGTGTCAAAGAGTGCCTTTGTCTACACGTAGAAAGAACAGTTTCAATTCAGTGTACATAGCATACAGATATTTGCTATCTTTTATAAGACTGTAATATTAACTGTATTGTAATATTAGATATAACAACTGTTAACATTCCTGATACAGAGAAAAATTACATTACACATTTAATTAAGTTTGATCAAAAACAATATATATCAAAAATTGGTATGCTAAGGGTAAAGTGAAACATTTTTCTGACTAATTGCAATCAAAGTAGTGACAGGTGCAATCAATTGAACTACATTTTCTCAACTACTATTTGTTCAAAGTACCATTTTTTTGGTTATACTACAGGCTTCAAATGTCCATAGCCTACAAATGTTCACACATCAAGAAACATTACAAGATACCTTCAAAGAGAACAAGAACTTTCATTTGAAAGTAGTAACAATAATTACATGAATTGTGAAACAGTCTAGCTGCACTATTTTTATCATAATCAAAGTATCTAATTAATAAATAAAAAGCAAGTAGATTCTTTAACTTGTAATAGAGAACATCTATTGTCCATGTTATTTTTATGATTTTCTAATCATCAAATGCATAATGCAATTGAAAAAATATCAAATTCCTTACATTGGTCTAAGTTTGAGTCATATTTATGATGTGTTAAATCCCAGAAAAATATTAATATTTTCAACTTGTTAAGTTTAAAATTCCATTAAAAGCTCCTGCAAGGAGATAAAAAAATTTTGCTTGACAACGTAGGGGAATTTTTTAAGTTTTACTACAGAAATTTTAATGAGAGATGATTTGCCAAAGATCGCAAAATATCTCCAGTTCAGCCAGCCACAAAGAGTGATATACTAAACTAAGTAATTGATCAGAATCAAAAGGAGATCTGCATGCCAACACTGAAACTCCTAACACATACCTCTCGCCTAGTCCAAGACCAAATTATGGCAATTTTTGTTGGAAAGCTTCACAGTTCCAACTTATTTCATAAGTGATGATTTTGTGCATTCTAATTAATGTTATCCCACAATATTTGACTAAAACATTTTTGGAAAAAAAAAATGTATTATTGTGATACTTTATCCTCCCCACTCTCCAGATCTTACTAATTTTGATTACAGTAATACCTTGACTTATGCTACCCCAACTTACACGAACCTGGAGTTACGCAATTTTCAAATCTCATTGATTCGCCTTTTGTTTGAGTGCCACGCAACTCTTGACTACTCACTCCCCCATACTATTGTTCAGCTTACATGTTTGGACGTGTCGCACGGAATCGACGCACAGCTACAATTTATTTTGTGTTATTTATTTCTGTGTTTGTTATATCTATGGAGACTTGAGAGACTCTACGTGGTATTTCTTGCAACTGTGAACGAATCAAAAGACGAGATAAGATTAATGAGAACATTTATTAGCTTATATACATCCGACTTGGATTTTACACAAATTGCGAAATTATACCCTGACTTACACGAATTCGACTTACGCAGTTATCGCTTGGTCCCACCTATCGTGTAAGTTCGGGGTATTACTGTACTTTGTCTTTCACAAAGTGAAGTTTGTCTTAAAAAGTAGAAATTCCAATACATAATGGATTCAGAATGCAGTTACAAGGAAGGATCTTTGAACTTTAGAGTTTCTCAACAAACTACAGAAGTCTAATCTAATCAAATAAATAGATTCACTGTTGGCATAGTTCTGTTGCAATAAATTGGTTTTTCCCCAGACAATCAGCATATCACATAGCAAGTTTTGCATTGATCACTCGTTCATCTATCTGAATTGTCAGAAACTATTATTATTTTGTTAGCTAATGAGCATAATTATCACAGCTACATAATTACCTTTTTCAATATTAAACATTAAGAAAATTTAATCTATTGAACTTACATCCAATAGATTAAATTCATTTCAATTTATTTAAGTGCCATCTATCAACGGAATCTCGACAGCATTCCTACCATAAATCTTAGTTAGAGAGTTTATTTCTATTTAATACTAATTCTAAGCAATGTGTTGAGTTTAAAAATGCATTCTATTGCTAGAAAGATAATAAATTTTTAAATATTTGGTCATGATAATCATCCGGATATAACCCATCCGCAGATTTACATTTTTATCAACATTTTTATCTTAAATTTTAATTTCGTACCGTAATTTTGTCGTCACTTGATTGCTTTGTTAAATCTTAATATTTACTAGAAGAGATGAGTGATGATTACGAGTTATAGTACACTGTGATGCATTTCAAACATCTTAATATATATTTTTTTAAATATCTCAGAAAAGAACAACAAATAGCATTTGAGAAAATTTAGCAAAATTAGATGCATGTGCATGAAATAATTCAAAATGTACAACCAAAATATAAGATCAGCCTCTACGAACTGAATTATCACAGCATATTTTTATTTTGTTTATCCTGTAAGCACTTTCTGGATATATTTATTATAAATTATTATTTTACCTGAATAAATAAAGAAACCAGAAAAGAAACATTTCAACTATGTAAAAAGATAATGTTCTTGGTGAAAGATATAATTGATTCAGTGATCAGTTAACTTGATGAAACAGCTCACTAAAGGCTATTAATATTGTGTTATTAGTCTCGATCGTTCCCACAATGGGTGGGATCATGAGGACAGAGGTACCAACAAGGACAAGGAAAGATTTAATTTCATTGATTACCATGAGGCTATAAAATTTTTATGTAAGTTTTTATGTACCATGAGGCACTGACATATTGTAAGTGATGCACTCAACTACAAATGTGCCCCATTACACCCATGCGTCCACCCACATTAAAGTCAGTCAATGATTTGAAATCATCTTAATTTTAACTTAATGAGCCATTAGAAATATTAATGCTTCAAGATCAGATCTTTAAAACAATGAAAAGTTTAAGACTTCATTAGAACTAAGTTTCGTGAAACATTTTCAACCATTAATATAGTTTAACATGTGTTAAGTTTTACTAAAGATTTGCAAAACTAGCCATTGCTAGGCTAATACAGTAGCCTCCTCTTATCTGCAAACAAGACATGCAGTGGATGCTTGGAAGTGCATATAGTACCAAACCCTAAATTTTCTGTTTTCTCCTATAAGAACATATTTATGATAAAGTTTTTAATTTATATCCAAGTATTTTATTTCCTTATTAACTTGAGAACTTTCCCTTTTCACTTAACAAAAGCAGTTTATGGCTTCTTCTCGGCAAATCTAAATTGCCAGCATCACCACTCTTGTACTTTGGGACCACAACTAAGTAAAATAAAAGTTACTCAAACATTAGCGCTGCACTACCACAATGGTCAATCTGATAACTGAAATGGCAACTAAGTGATTAATAAGTGGGTAGCATAAATGGTATGGATAGCCCAGACAAATTAGTCATCTTGCTCAGAATGTAAACTGTCCAAGATTTTGTCATGCTACTTGGAATGATACACACTTATTTACTTCCGAAATTATCCTTTTAATATTTTCTGCAGGTAGCCAATTAACTAGTGATGAATTGCAGGTAATCAATTAGCCTGTGATTAACCACAAGTAACCAAAACTGTGGATAACAAAGGCTACTGCATATTGCTGTACAACCACGCGACCAATAAACTGAGTTTTGAAAACTAATTTAGAATAATCTGATAAAGTTTGGTAAGAACAAATAAAAATATGCTCTTGTAAAACAGTCTGCAAAGATATTTCATTATATTAATACAAGAATAATTTATCCACTGATGGCAATTAGTATTTTGGTTATACTCAGATTCGTTGTTAATCAAAGCAATAGGGAAAGTTCTTTATATTAGAATGAGAAATTTTATGATTTTATTAATATGTTAAATAGATAATTTAGCAGGTTAGAGTTAGATTACAGAACCAAAAATATAATTAAAAACATGGAATTGAATTTATCGCTCGGAAAGGAAAATAAAACGTTAAAACTTAAACTAGTAAATTAGTCTTTCTTGAAAGAAAAATTTAATAATAGTGAATTTAACAAAATTTAAAGAAAAAAAGATTGGGAAAAGCTAGAAGGATCTGCAACTACAGAAGAGACAACTGCATTAATTTTAAGTGCCTAAGAAAGGTTATTTAACAGAAAGGAAGCAGAGTGGATGTGATCACCTCGATTTAAAGTACATTTATAATTCTTCTAATGAAAATTATAACAAAATTCTAAAACTATCTTGATATACTTACCTGAACCGCCAGGAGAGACAATGTCAAAATCTTGAATCCCAGGTACTAAATGAGCCACGTATATCAATTTCACGCGTTCGTTCAGATCGGCTCGACACATCAGTGCGAACGCTTGAACCAATTCACGAAAATTAATCAGGTTGTCCTGATTCTCGTCCATTACCTAAAATGTACACCAATAAAACAAAATTATAAAAACTTCCTCAAAAATTCACAATTTGTATGCAGAAAGATAAACTTTTGAACCTTGTATATTCTCAGAGCTAAATATTCGTATTTTTGACCATGTCCCCAGGGCGAAAGGAGCGTGAAAAAGCGCTTGAACTGTTCGAAATCTAAGCGATACATTTCGTAAAATGGCAGAGTCGGATCATATTTTTCTTGACATGTGACAATCGAGCCTCTACCCCAATACTGTTGACTCAGTTGTTCTTCCTAAAAATAAAAATCAGTTCCTTTCTTAGTCAACAATTCAAAATTTAAGTTACAAACATTTCTATCATACCTTCATTACTGTAAATAGTTCCTGTAATTCTGCGGGAGTGAATGAATTACTAATGAAATTATCAGACAAAACGCTTCGCACTGTGCTTTTCATTGCAGTTTCTTCCAAATTCTAATTAATAATAAATATATTTGAAAAAATAATATAATACAGAAAATATAGGATAATCAAACAGTTTTTACCAAGAGTAGACTTGGTGACAGCAGTGAAGAATTTCAAATTTTGTTCCCAAATTTCATATCAAATAAATATTCAACATTTAAGTGCTTCTTGTTACAAGGTGTCTGAAAAGTACTGTGCAGCATAAAATTTGTAATGGCATTAAAATTATACATGTGGCATTGTACAAAAGACCTAACTCATACAGGGTTTGTCCAAAAAGTAATGTCAATAATTTTACTGTGAAGCAAATACATGTCACAGTGTGCTCGGAGCAGTAGGGATTGGTGGAAGGAGGAGTCAGGTTACGCATGCCTGGTTGCTGAATTGCCTCCAACCATCTGGAGAGTAAGGACAGACATTTTTGTGAACCTTGTTTTCGTCTCCCGTGCAAGCCACGATGCAGCACTCAAATGAGCAAAGGATTGCCATCAAGTTTTGTATGAAACTCGGCAAGTCCACAGTGGAAACTTTTCTCATGATAAAGATGGCCTTTGGTGATGATTGTTTATTGGAATGCAAGTCTACCGGTGGCACAAGACATTTGTTGAAGGCCATGAAGAGGTCAGCAATGAAGCTCACGCTGGAAGATCATCAACGACCACAACCAATGAAAATGTGATGCACGTGACTGAACTCTTGAACTCAGACTGTCATTTTAGTGTTCGTTTAATGGCACAGACATTAAACATTCCAAAAAGTACTGTTCATGAAATTGTGACAAACAATCTGCAGATGAGAAAAGTGTGCGCGAAGCTGGTGCCCAAAGTGTTAATGGACGACCAAAAATCGCACTGAGTTGAAACATGTGAACTTTGGGACTTTGTGAGAAAGTGATCCCCACTAGTGTGCTGAGGTGTGCCACTAGGCAAAGTGCCGAGTGGCATACCTCGGCATCTCCTTGCCCCAAGAAGGCCAGAATGAGCAAGTCAATCAAGACAATGCTCATTGTTTTTTTCGACATCAGGGGGCTCGTCCACCATGAGTTTGTTCCACATGGTGTAACCGTCAATGCCAAATTCTACATGGAAGTGCTCAAGAGATTCAAACAAAGGGTTCATCGTGTCCGGCCCGACATCGCGAACAATTGGAAACTTCACCATGACAATGCACTGGCCCACACCACCTTCCTTGTGACTCGCTTCCAATTCAAAAGTACCAACAGTTTCCCAGCTGCCCCACAGTCCTGACGTGGCTCCCCCAACTTTTTGTTCCCATGCTTGCAAACTCCCATGAAAGGACATCATTTTGGGACAGTTGACAAAGTCAAAGAAGCTTGTACCAAGGCTCTAAAGGACATTTCAGAAAAGGCTTACCATGATGCCTTTGATGCCTGGAAATCTCGCTGGAAGCGATGTATCGACGCAGGAGGAGCCTACTTTGAGACCTCTTAATGTAATGTACCAATTGGATCAATAAATGTCTTCTAATAGACTCACTACATTACTTTCGGACAAACTCTGTATGTCCCATGCCTCCACTCTGCAGTAGTTAGCATTATTGCTCACTCATAGATGTTCCAGTTTTTGGAAGACTTCTTTGTCAATTGCAAACTCTTTCATAGAATCTTATCTGCTAGGTCTCTGGACATTTATCCCCAGATTTTGGGGAACATTTCTGTCATTTCCATACGAGAAATTGCAATATCATGTTTAAAAATTCAAGTCAGATGATCAGCCAAATTACCAGGCTGTAATATGGCTAAGTTAATAAGTAATTTGTCTACAAGCGACTTTAATCAAAAATTGGGTTTGTGGCATTGTTGTTTATATGTAAAACTCCACTTTTATCAAAACTTTACACAAGTACAACAGGAACTTTTCAGAGACCCTGTATTTGTAGCAAGGTAATAACAAACCTGGCAGGTTCTTAGCAATGCTAAGTCTACTCCTCGCAAGTACACTTTTCATTTTATTGCCCATTATATAAGTGTAAAACAAAGAAATACCTGTACAACTCTTAATCTATGCTTCAATCTAAGACGTTCTATCATTCCTGATGATATGAATCCATACTTTGCATACGATTCATATATAAGTTCGGAAATATCGACCTTTTTCTAATTTAAAAATGTATTAGTTTTAAACTTACTGTTTTTTTAGGCAGAATACTAAATAGAATTTAAACTTACAACTGAACTCTTTATATTAGCAGGTAAGTAAGTATTCCTATGCACCATATGAGGAAGTGTGGCATTGGCATTCGTAATGTTTCCTAAATATTGGCAGAGAGCGGTCATTGCTTCTCCATCGTCTTTGCAATTCATTAATGCTTCTTGATTCGCTTCGAGAACGGAGAGTGAGACTTGAAAGACTACCTATAAAAAGCGTTTCTGAATTTATAAATATATTATTACAAACTAAGTATATAATGATAAATGAATCAAAGTAATCTGACCTTTGCTCCATCATAGAAAAAACAATCAACAATATTCACTGCCGCGTCGAATGGAATAACACTAAATACAAATGACAAATACACTTTCAGGTTACCGACTATATTGAAAATTATTATGACTATTATAATTCATCTACCTTAAAAATATAGTCAGAAGCCAAGACAGGGATATCATAGATAATACGCCAAGAGGTTCTAATTTAGTGTACAATTCCGGTAAATGATCCTTTGTTAGGTCTTCAAGAACACCTTAATAAAAATGAAAGATAACAATACAAGAACATTAAAATGCAGTCAAACCCATTTATACATTTTTTGATTGTAGATTTTCGTAATTTTACATTAAATGTTTTATGCATTGTACTTTCTCCATTATCAAACACTTCAGTTATAAGAATTGGCTCTCATACACAGTGTTGACATACAATAGAGAACATTACTAAATTTGTCATTTTTTTCCATCAGACATAAAAAGAAAGTCAAATTTATTAACTTTACAAAAGAAAAAATAATTAAAATCAACTCCGATACTAATACTGCAGTTAAAGAAGGTATTATACATATTGATGCACCAAATGTGTAAATATCTCAAACAGCTGGAGATATTTAAAGCATTTGAGAGGAAAACAGCAATCAATTTTAAAGAAATGGACTCATTAGCAGCTGTGTGGAGAGCATACTTTGACGTAAAATAAATCATTGTCAAGTTTGTCTTTACAATTTATATAAATCATCGTATTTTTTTAAAAATAGGAAGCCAGTTGAAAGACTAATTTTTTTAAATGCAACATTGAGCATAAGCGTTTCTTCACGATGTGCAATTTTTAAATTTTTGGAATGTGTGTTCTTTTACAACATTCCAATATATAGAAACCTGATGATGACCATTAAAGATGGAGGAAAACATCTGTTTAAAAGAGAATTAACTGCTGGTTTATAGGTAATTGCTTATTTATTTATTTATTGAATTCTATACCAGTAATATCCTGGTGATTATAAACAAAGAAAGTATTAAATTAATATTAATAAATACAATTGAGAATCTCATTAGCAAATCACTCCACCAGTTGAGAAGTCGAACATTTGAGCAAATTTTTTAAAAGTACATGACTTGATTTCACACTTTTTTACTTTTCCTTTTGTATGCTGTTCAACTGTATTACATGTGTAGTAAATTGAAATTTTTGTTCAGGATTACACACACAAATTCAAACATACAGTGGGTACATTCCAGTGTACATCAGACTTTGTACTGTACCACTAATGTACTGGCAAAAGGTTTAATAAGCTTTTACTGAAACATCAGGCAATCTAACAAGACAGTGGAAGCGAATGGTGCTATACTGAAATTTGCAGACCTATTTTGTCAAAATAACTTTGCATTAATTCAGATGAGTAGTAAAAATGATGTTATAACCGCAAAGATAGCAGTATTGCTTTGTCGGAGCTATCGTATCCATGACCCAATGGGTGTAGTAAGCAACAGTCAGTGCACTGATGAACTCATCAGTCAATATCAGAACATATTTTAGCATATTGTAATGAGTTTGCCAATATGGTGTTTGATGTACACTGGAACATACAGAGTGTAATCTGTGCAACATAGTACTTTTGTGAAAACTAATTTATTCTGAAATCAATTAATTAGTGGCTTCATTTGTACATTTTTCTTGGTTTCCTCAAAAAACATACAAATGGAGTTTTATCATAAGCATAATGTAAAATATAACTAACGTACCTTGATCGATAAGTGCACCAACAACTTTTGTGTTGTAGTAATCAGGTAACAGTCTTTCACAGAGGGCAACTAATAACCAAAACGATTCCTCTTCGGATGCGTAAAGCAATAAAACGGACGTAACAATATTCATCGCTTGACAGTAACCTGTACATTAAGTCATTTATTTAATTCACTTTATATAAATGGCAAAAAATTTTTAATGTATAAAATATATAGCTAACCAATGTTAGGATTTCTCCAGGCATAAGCGGTCAGAACGCGCCTCAGAGCATCAATTCCGACTGAAGACTGGAAGGCTGGATGCTCGGGAAGAGATCGGTGAACATCCCTTTCAATCTCTTCAGCGGCCAGCGTTGATTTTCCCAACGACTGATCCACTAGCCACCTATAATACCCTGGATTTGTTTCCATCTACAGAAATAACCAATCCGTTAATTACACGACAAGTAATAATATTAAAAACTCTGTTTCTGACTCGTACTTCGTTAACAGCACCGCTGTACTGCAGCCATATTTCGCCTCGCAGTTTGTCTGGAATTCCTTTCAACACCAATTCTCTAGTCTTACTTGTTCTGTATGTACAAATTCCTCTAAAGATAAAAAAGTCATTTCCTTACCAGAACTTAGAAGTTCCCTAAATAGCAGGGCTGTGGAGTCGGAGTCGGTGTTGTAGAGTTTTGGTGTTTTAGCCAGAGTCGGAGTCTTCAAATTATCTGTCAACTCCAACTCCTTTTTACTTCCCAACTTATGTACATAAAACAGAAAAGTATTGGAATCATGTCAAATTTGACCCTTCAAAGTTTTTTTTTTCAAATCTACATGTTTGGAGACCTCCTGAACCCTCTAAAAAGTCAATAAAAGGGGAAATTCATGTGCATGTATGTTGGTGTCTAATCTGTTTAATTTGTTTATGTTCTGTTCTGAGATATTAAACAATATCTCAGAATGGGTAAAGTTTAAGAAACAAAATGTGGCACTGTAGCTTGTGTACAAATGGGCATTAATACTATGAAACGTTGGTTCTTAATTCAAGGTCAACAGGGTGGAGACATAAAAGGAGTCATGTGTCATATCTCTTAATGAATATTTTACTCGTTATTAGTGTTCAAAATTAAAAAAAAAAATAAAACTTGTCTCTACCCTCAAAGTAAGCTTTTTGTCATTTTATAATAGTACAGTAAAACACGTTAAGATGTTCTTGCCTGAGATGTTAGAATGTGTATGGGGACATGATTTAGTTCACTTTGATGCTTAATAATTAACTCCTGCGTTAAACCATCTGACTCCGATTCTAACCACTCTGACCACAGAAATTATTAGGCTTCAAACAGGGTGAACAAAATCATGCCTCACACACACAGTCTAACATCCATACATACAGTCAACTCCCCTATAACACAGCAGATATGCTCCATTTTTTATGAAATTGATATTCTAAGAGTGCTTGAGTACATGAGCCAATCACAGCCTGGCACGTATGCAGTTTACAGACTACGACTGTTTGAAAAGTTTTCTTCCATAAAATTAATCGATTCTAGACTAATTCAACTCAACATTTCCAAAATACGTTTAACTTTTTGGGAATAATCCATATAAACTATGCTATAAACAAAAAATTGTAGGATTACTTACCGAGTGTGCACCGTTCGACTACGCCATTACTTAAGCTTGTTTTCATCGTGAAGCTTGTCATTGAATTGAGCTTGCGTGCTTCCTGATAAAGTATTTTTTTTATGAAAAATTTGCTGAACTTTAAAGACAACATTAATATAAATATAATTTTTATGGCCGTTAAATAATAAATGGTTTTTAGTAGGTCTGCTGCTTGTTTAAACTCAACAATTTGTACAATATCTGCTATTGGTCCAGATTCAACCAATCCTGTCACAACACGAGTCGGCGATAACGTTTTACCGAATTATACGAGTTTTTTTTATCGAGTTTGTACAAATACTGTCGCAATTTTTTCGCCATCATATAGGAATCCGAATTATATGAACCCGTGTTATAGGGAGGTCGACTGTATAGAAAAAAATCTTGAATCTTATGGATATCTTAAATTTCAAGGTGTCCTGAGTCCAAAAATGTAAAAATTTCGGAGGGGTCATTTTTTGTCTGAGCACTACACTTTTCCTCTGTTATAAAAGCCGGAAAAGTAAAAGTTATCGAATACATATTTATATATTGACTGTGTCATTACTTAGAGGAGTCTTTTAGCTTCAGAATAAAAAGTTTCTATGTTCTATCTTTATTATCTTTATTAGAACTCTATTTATTGAATCTTTTATTCTGAGGTCACGTGATGACATCAGAATTTCTGTGTCTCTTTTGGTAACAAGTCTGTCCCTGGTCAGAGTCGAATGGTAAGGAAAAGTCGGAGTCGCTAGATTTTTACACGACTCCACAACCCTGCTAAATAGTATCAAGTTTGCACATAGTCATTTTCTATTAATGCCTCATTACAATCCCACCAATATTTGTGAGGTTCCTATATCGAATCAAGATAACCAATTTGATACGTCAGGATTACACCTACCATTATTGAGAATTAACAAACTCATTCCAAATAAGTAGAACGTTTATCTATTATTGTGGGAAGTGCACAGACATTAAAATTTAATTTAATTACTTATAATGGTTTATACTTTGCATTTCCAGACAAGTGTTATTTAGAGTAGTGTTCTGCAACCTTTTTCTACTTGCAGCACACCCATGACTCAACACGGCACCAAAATGTTATTATCCTAAAATACATATGAAATGATACTATTAATAGAATTACATAATGCCACTAACCTATTATTATTATTAAACAGACATCAACACCTGTAAGCAAATTTATTTTACATTTAATTTCTTAGAATACATAAAAATGTGTGGCTTGTAATAACTCATTGGGCTTGAGATGTGTATTATATGTATATATATACCTCGCTGGCTGAGTGCCACATAGGAGATGTTCATTGGCTGTTGATGCAAGGGTCATCCTCAGCCAGTGCCACCAGCAACCATGGAAGGCCACATCGAAATTCAAATACTTCCGGAAACGAATGAAGGCCGACTCGGGGCCCGGGTGGCGCAATTGGCAGCACACCACATGGCAAGCAGAGGCTGCAGGTCCAAGCCCCCCAGGTCAGCCATCTTCCACCAGAAGGTCTAAATTATTTATTAAATTATTAATTTAGATAAGAGATGGCACCCAACGCCCACCTCCAGCTCCAAACCTGCTTGTAATAATCACCTGCTCATGTGGCTTGTAATAAAGAATAAACAATCATCTTATTTCATCAGTGCTGCGGCAGAGAATGAAATACAAGCATAAGAAACACAGCAACTGTGATAAAAATATATAAATAAAACATGACAATTAATAGAATATGTAAAAGTTCATGTCACACCTTTCACCTTGTGACAGCGCACTGGTTGCAGAACACCGATTTAGAGTGACACAAAGTCGAGAAACACATCTGAAGTTCGAGTTGCATATCTCTGGCATAAATATCATTTGGTGTGAGTTGAGTTGAAAATTGTCAAGTGGAAAATTGACTTTAAAGACAAAAATTGCTTTCTGGCTGATAGATTTGCAATGATAGAAACTTCAATGTTGTATTAAATAGCACACAAAAAACTGGATGTTTATTGAATCAATAGCAAAACAGAAAAATCCAATAAGAAACACTTAACCTTTCAGCAGTGGGTTAGTCAGGTATGATGCTATCCCTATGTAATGGAGAATAAACGTGGGAAAATTTTTAAGTATTTTTCCACGTGTTTTATCTCATTACCATTTTAAAAAAAGATTTTATAAACAGTTATGTCTAGTAAAGAAAAGTCTTTTTTTATTGTTACATAATTCTTTTTTTTTATGTGAATTTTTTTCGTGGTAGTTTTTGGCAATATCCTCAATTCTTTTGCGGATATATCTGCCCTTCACCACTGCCACACGATTACCCTTGACGGATATATCTGTCAGTCACTGCTGAGTGATTAAGGAGTAAATAAATACTACTGCCATAAGCTACCAGGATGCTTATGCCATCTCTTTGGAATGGAAATCACTATTTGAAAACTCTTCGAGAGAATCCAATACTTAATGTATTTTATTAATTTTCATTCTTAGAGTTTATTTAATTTGTTCTTACCATACAAGTGGCCACCTCCACATGTGCAGCAAGTGTCCACTCACGTGCACTGTTCTTTGTTTTTGAAATATATATTCTATTTTGTTTTCCTTTTTAGAATGTATTAACACTTTCTGGTTAAGATATGGGAATGACCTTTGACCCCAGAATGTACCAGTAATTTCGTAATCTTTAGTCTAAATGTGCCTGCTTGCATCTCCTATGGCAATCATCCTTTTGTAAGTATTATACTTCTAGCTCCATCTATTCACAAAATAGAAAAATCAATTTGAAATTTCACATGAAATTTCAAATTGATTTTTCACATGAAATTTGAAATTTCATGTGAAATTGAAATTTCACATGAAATTTCAAATTGATATTTCTATTTTGCAACTTTTATCAAATTTTTTCAGAATAAAAGGTTTCCTGCCATTTTTTTTCTTTGAAGTTTTTACTATTATTATTAAATAATTTAACATTTTGTTCTTTTAAAATGTAAATACAAATATGCAAATTAGTATAAACATCAAATTATTGCAGATTAAATATTTTCAACAAATAGTTACATATTATATATCAAATTAAATTGAAAAATAATGATCTTTAATATAGACTAGATATAAAAACCATAAAGTTATCTGCTTTCAAATGAAGATGATCTTAATAAAGGTCAAAAAAGGTTAGTCCATAGAATCATGACACCTAATGGGTAAGACCAGAAAATGTCAACCTAATTATGACCATTGAAAATGGCTAAAAATCCAAAGGTCAGTTGATTATTTATATACAGCTTTACATAGAATTGTTTTTTTACTTTTTTATACAAACTGCAATTCTGTTATATGGACGTCAATCGATGGACAAGACTCGTAATCATTTCTTCAATGGCATTAAGGGTGGCATCCGATCTTACAGTTTGTAACAAAACAAACATATGAAAGTTTGAATAAAATTAATTTAATCATTTCCATATAGTCACTACACCAAACTAAAAACATTACAATTAACAGAATGATAAGTCCTCCTTTCGGCTACCTTGTGATTATAAAAAGCATTGGACTGCATTCTAAAATGTCAGATTCCATCAATGCTAAAGGCTAAGTGAGAATATATTTACCTCACAGCCAACAATTCTTACAACAACAAGTCACACTAATTAAAAAATTATTTTTCAGCTTTGCAGACAACAAATTATACCTTGAACAAGGGGAAAACTTTACTAATAGTGTGTTCTGGGATAAAGTCAACAAGTGGCAATCTATTTTCCTAAAACAATCTGGCATAGCTTCATTACATTTTAATCCAGAAAAATATTTAACAATCCATATTCCAACATCCTCACTCTTGTAACAGACTAAACTCTGCATCGTGAGTTATTATTAAATAAAAAAATTAATTAAAACCAAACAGCATGTGGGAAAGCCTTACATAAGAATGTTTAACAGTCAAGATTCTTCTTTTAAACATATTTAATAGTACACAACTATCATTCAACATTATCATTTTAAACATATTTAATGGTACACAACTACCATTCAACCTGTAACCAGAACAAAATTTATCAAAAGGTCTCATTCTTTGGTAACAGAAAGATCCTTTGTTCAGTCTAGATAAAATGCATCAAAATTCAATCTGTATAATGAATCTTGATTTATTTACAAAAGAACTGCTGAATCCACTTGACTGAGCTCCTGTAACAGTGGTATATGCATTAGTTTCTGAGAAAAGGTTCAAGACAAACTATTGGTTTTATCAAATGAAGATCACTCTCATTAACTCTCTGATAAACAATTTGATTTGAAATACAGGTACTCCTCACTTTACGACCCTATCTGCTTAATGACCACTTGCACTTATGACCAATCGAGTTTTGACCTGCAATTCGGGAAATCCCCTTTCTCAGCTTGAGTGTCGATCAGCGGCGATTGGTGACATGCTCACTGAGTGTAGTATAGTCTTGCTATGATGTTTTTAGTCAGTTTGATGTAATTTAAACAATTGCTGGCTTTGCCAATGCGCTTAATTTAGATGTTGAAGTGGAAGACATTGCTGAATTAGTGGATTATGCCGATGGAGAGCTAACAAATGAAGATTTAATAGAGTTAGAAGCAATGCAGTATTTGGAAGAGGAAGAAGACGAAATAACTGAAGAAGTGAAAAAGAAATTCATGGAACATGGGTTAGCTGGTATGTTCTCCAAAATTAATGCGGCTATGTTGGAACTTGAGGCTATGGATCCTAATACTGAATGTTTTAACATAAAGTTGAATGTTTTAACATAAAGTTGTACATCCAAGACCTCCGCCCTTGAAGGTACAACTTTTATTTCATCTTTGTCATCTCCTTTACCTGGAGAAAAACCTCTACAGATCCAGATAACCAAATAAACAAATGATAATATGTACAGTACATATGCACGTCTTTTTATGAATAAATTTGAAGTTTGTTGCATAATTTTTATAATTTTACAACAATCCTATAGATGGCTGCAAGCTCCTCATTTATTGACCAATTCGCTTAACAACGTAGTCGTAGGTCATAAAGTGAGGAGTACCTGTAGATGTCCTAGTAGCTGAAGAGTTACAGAAAAAAAACCACAAGTTGGTTAATTTTCCCATTGGTACCATCTGTTAAGATATTTTCTTAAAAACACTTTTTATATTTTTTATTATTATAAAAAGGCAAACAGATTAATTTTGAGGAGAGGGATGGATTTTGTAAGAAATTGTAAATGCTAATAACAAGTAAAATCATTATTAAGTACAACCTTACTCAAGATATGATATGACTCTGTTTATCTCCCCACCCCTTAATGTTTAACCACCAAAATTTAATAGCATCAATCTCCCTAATAAACAAACCTTCTTGCAAAATTTGAGAAATTTTCAACAAAAAGTACAGGAGTTATTAAGCTTCAAAAAGGGTAAACAAACTCTTACCCCCTCCACACACACACACTAACATCCATATTTACAGAAAAAAACCCCAAATTTTTTTGCATTTCTCAAAGTTTCAACATGTCCTAAGTTCAAAAATGTAAAAATCTTGGAGGTCATTTTTTGACCAATCGCCATACTTTCTCTCTGTTATATCTAATAGCCAGAAAGTAAAAATTGTCTGCCTGTAAATTTCCAGCAATGTCTTTCTACAATGAAGATAACAATCCTCCTAACTTGCAATATTCTTGGATTTCTATCTGATTATTGATCATGCTTCATAAATCTTTAGCAATTCTATCCACAAAAGTAAACATCTAAGTCTCTAATGTAGTTCCTCTTTCAGTCTTTCTATGGATTTCCACTATACTGAATCAAATAAATTTACAAAGAATCTTCTATATTATTCTTGTCTTTAATCTCAAGCTTATTACATTTTTGACAATAAATTAAAATTGTGTTCCTACTGACTTTAAGCAAACAACTTAATTTGACTGTTGAAATGCTTATTTATACATTTAAACTACATAAATAGACTTACAATGTTTATAAGTACTATGAGGAGTAGATGTACAGATTATTTATGAATTTAGTATTACACTATATGTAATCTAACAGTGAGCATAACAATGGAAATAAATGGAAAGTTATAAGCATAATAGAAAATTCCTATGCAACAACATATTAATTTTAAATAAACAGTATAAAGATAATGAATATTTTTTTACCAATGTTGTCGGTAAGTATATATCAAAACAATACAAACCTTCCATATTCGGCAAAATGAATATTCCAGAGATGTTGTTTAACAGCTTCTTTGGCATTTATTTCAGAAGCATCATCTTTGTAAAAATAAGTCAGCAAAGCTGGTTGAAGTTTCCAATTACCTAATAAAATGAAAATCTAAACATAGTTGCAACATTTGTTGTTAAGTTTCCTTAAAAGTTATAATGTTCATCTTATTAGCATTGTGGTACAGTGGTACCTCAGGATACGAACGTCTCAGCATACAAAATTTTCAGGATACGACATGAAATTCAAACATATTTTTGCTCCACGATACGAACAAAAACTCACCATACGATGTTACATTAGTTCGCAACACCATTTTTTATTCCCTTCTGTTCATCGGTCTCAGTCCGCATGTTTGCTTCATCGTGGAAGGATCTCGCTCGATAAAGAAAATCTTGAGGTATTATCAGAAAGTGACCGATTTTATTGAAAAGAAACATCCCGAAAAGGTTCACACTGGCCGTATTGTTGCTCGGAGTAATGACATTTGTCTAAGTCATTTTAGAAACATTTTAAAAAGTAGGCAAAGCCAAACTTCTTTAGATAGATATTTTACCAAGCAACCTGTATCCAGTGAAAGTGCTGGTGGAAGTGAAGGAAAGAAAACAAAACTCAGTAAATAAAAATTTTAAAAAACTATAAATATATAAAAACAACACTAATTTTTTAAAAATCTTTTTTAAGTTATTGTTACATTATGTTATGTAAGTTAAGTTTTAGTATCATTTCCCTTCTCCCTCTCTTCCGCCACCAGTTTGCTCCTCCACATTGTCTATCCTCAAAGGTAAAGTGCAAATAAAACTACATTTTTTTTTTTTTTTAATCAATTATTATTCTATTATGGTTATTTATACATTTACAACTACAAAATGCATTTTGTAGTTGTAAATGTATAAATATCAGTGTTTCCCTTACTATAGTTATTATTATTTTTTAATGTACTACTTAGCTTTAATTTGAGTGTGTTTTTTGTGTTGGAACGAATTATTTGGTTTTACGTGTAATCGTATGGGGAAAAATGATTCACCTTACGACATTTTCATGATACAATCTCAGTTTCGGAACAGATTAATTTCATATCCTGAGGTACCGCTATATTATCTTATATACTCAGTTAATTACTCTTATCTTGTGTATTTAGTTATATAGTACTTAAATACAGCCTATGTCAGCAACTTTTATAAATAACTGCTTAATAAGATGAACCTTTTGCCTACATATGAGACTCAAATTGCCTTGTTCATCACCGATATTTCTACGACTCGTTTAGAGCAAAAGATTTTCCAACCCAAGCAAACTTATGAGAAAATATATCTTACTTTCTGACGTCTCTTGGTCAGTAGAACTCATAGACAAATTATCTCCACTTCCATTAGTCATTATAAATCTCCTGCAATAAAACAATAATAATAATAATATAAAAAAAATATAAAAACTTGAAAAAAAATTCTTATTAAAACATATCTAAGTAAAAATTTACAAATAACTTACAAAAGAACAATCCTTAAGTGAAAGAAATGAAACAATTTAAAATTATCTGATAAATAAATTGCAACTGTTCGAGGGGAAGGAAACGTTTAATTTATCGATTAACGCTTACTCTTTTGTCACAGGTATCCTGGCCAACAATTCGGATATTTTTTCCACAACGAAATCTCTGTCCGACAACAGCGCAAATAAGAAATTTGTCTGGAATTTATCAAATAGTAATTTAATAATTAAATCAAACAAAAATTATTATTATTATTATTATTATTGAAAAAGCATTACTTTTCTTCTGGTCGTCAACAACACTGCATCCTGTACGACAGGACTGTTAGTGCTGTTATCCATTTTCTCGACCAAACATAATTCGCGCAGAGGAATGACTACAGAGACTAGACCTTTCACCTGAAAAAATAGAGAACAGCAACACAATTATTATTGTTTAAAACTTAAAAATGGTAAATGATTAAATTAAAACGTGCAAATCTACTTGCCCGACTCTCAAAGCATATATAATTGCTAGAAATATATAATTTCCCCCACACGTGCTGCTTATTGTAAGGTGTCCAAAGTGTGCATTCAGTGCTTCCATCGAGTTTCTCGATGCATGGCAGACGAAATGTCATCCTGATAATATAATTGCATGTAAATGTTAAAAGATAAATAGACTTCCTGAATTAATTACAAATACTTAGAAATGACTGATGTTTTTCTTATTTATTACGCTAATTATATAAGTGTCAAATTGTTGACCGTCCTTGTCTTGTAATATTTGTCATCATCCAAACTATGATTTTATTTCTTTCCTTTATTTTTATATGAGGACATTAGGAAAATTTGATCCTCACTTTAAGAGATTTGAATAAAAAACAATTTTTATTCAAATCACATAAAAAAACAAACTTTCCTTTCACATTTTTTCCATAAAAATCAGAAACATAGAATCACCTACAGATTCCAAAACAATACAAACATTTATTTTTTTTCAATCAATCAAATGTTACATGTTTCTCGAATGTCCCAAAGAAAAACATTATACTTCCATGGTTACGAAGCCACTTTTTGTTTGCCCTGTGGACTTTGCCTGATTGATCAAAAATGTTGCGACAATTCATCAATTCCTAGTGCCACTGTTTCTATTTTATTCCCTGGCCCAGCCCAACTTATTTTATTGACTTACCCCATGAGCTTCACCTGCTTGTTCCCAATATAGACTAGTGTAATAAAAATTTTGTGAAGATTCATGATTTTAAGCTAAGTGTTTTAGGTATAATGTGTAGATTAATTACAATAAAAACACTAAATTTCTTCATTCTGTAAGGAAAGCCTTTGGAGAAAGACTTTCCTTACAGAATGAAGAAATTTAGTGTTTTTGGAGAAAGGAAAAAGCCTTTGGAGAAAGGCTTTCCTTACAGAATGAAGCAATTTAAAACAATCTGATTTTAAAACAAAATTTGTACAAGAGATTTTTTTACTAAGAGAGAGAGAGACAGTCATTTTGTTCTTCTGACCACCATCTGCTTGGAAGAATTGCAGATACAAATTGTTTTGCTTGAAATATGTTTTTTCTGTGATTTACTGTAAATTTCTGTCATTTTGTGTTTATAATAAAAACATTCTGTCTCCATTGACTCTCTTCCGAGTTCATTTTGCAGCAGGACATCACAGCATTGAAAACCAAATAATATTTATCAGCTAAGAAATGTTTTCAGCTCTATTGAGTTATTAAACTGTCATAAAAGATGCCTCAGTACCCAACCTAAACACTTCTTCATTAATAACAATTTCTGCCATAGGATCAAACAGTTTAATGTACACTTATTTTAATAATAGTTTTGTACATAACTCTATTAATTCCATATCTTTGAATAAAAAAAAAACCAAGCAAGGACAAACAACTGCCAATACACTACTTAGTGGACTTTTCACACATTAATACTCTCAAATACTTGTATTTCCACACTAAATATCTCAAATGGTGCAGATCAAATCTGCACCGTTTGAGATATTCCAAAAACTTCATATAAAGGATTGTATTGTATATCTTTGACATAGACTTATAAAGTACTAACCAACTTACACAAATTAAAACTCAACCTGATACTCTACTCTATAAAAGCACTACCTGTACGCTTCGCTATGAGCTCTGGCATCCAAATCTCTTTTCAAAAAGGACGGTTTCTTTGGCACGTTTTTACTTAACTTATGTACAAGTTCAGTATCCGTTGAAAAGATTTCTTCACAGATCAACCTTGAGAGAATCAAAGGATTTATTTATTTATAAAAAAAAATCTAATTATTCAATAATGTAACAAAACTTGTTTACTTACTGCTTCATTGCTATGTTTGCTAGCTGTTCCATCAGAGCAAATGTTTCGCTAGTTTTAAGAAACATGGAAAAGTAGTACTGAAATGAACAAAAACTTATTACAATTGAAAATAAAGCAATAATTTTAAAAATTCTCATTGTAATTTCTTTCTTGTCTAGTATTTGTTTTGTTTAAATTACCATTAATTTATACATGAAAAAATAAGAATAATTTTACAAAAAGAGTGGCTCAGAAGTCAATTAACCATGTAATATGTGTTATAGGTATGCTTGTGAATATGAATCATAAACCAATTTTAGAACGTCTTTCCATTACTAAACTGATGCTGTTCTCCAACAGAAAAAAAACCACCTCTGCAATACATTTTGAAGGTCTTAGAATATAATCCACTTTATGCACCTCCATCCTGTTTTATCCTGAATATTGATAAAACAGTGAATATTGATAAAAGTGAGTACCAAAGGCTTAGACACTACTAAACTGATGAAAGGATGATACAAAATATAAATTTAAGCATTTGAATATAACAGAAATTTAGTCTTTATAATTGTTAACTAACTTTCAAACCACCCTGTATTTTGTATCACACATTAATACTTCAACAGTTCTTTTTTATTAAATAAAACTTACGTCTTTCATTCTAGTTGACACTCTGATGCTCTCTGGGAAAAGAACAGAATTACTTCTTTGTAGATGCTGAAAATAATTTCGTTTAATGAGCCTAATATGCACAACATTTCACAGAAATAAATAAATTAGTAAAACTTGCCAGTATATCTGCCCATCGAATGACCAGTTTTGTCTCTTTGCCGAATAAATACGAATAAAAGGACAAATGATTGACGCTCAGATACATCCAACCTTGTCTAGGCACCCGGCCTTTCCAGTAACTACAAGAATAATCTAGAAGACAAGAAGACTGTTAGCAACAAAATAATCTTCATCCTAGAGGTGACTCTTCACATTTAGTATTTGCTGATTGCCAAGCAAATTTTTGGCCAACACCAAATGGCTGAGATGATTTACTCATGATTTTGCTTGGCAAATATTTGGCATTTGCCATTTCCTCCTCCTTATCAGTATATTGCGCCAAATCAAAAAACTAATCTCGAACAAACATTCGTAATTCCCACAATGAACCAATGATCTGCAAATAATCGCATATGTATGTGTGTGTTCACCACGTGACAAATACTTCAGTGAAAGGCAATTATTTGGCAATAAAAAAATACTGAATGTGTGGAGCCACCTCAAAATCCTATCGATTAACCTTACAATTTACAAGTTTCTCTTCTTTTGGCATGTTAAATAATTTTGAAAACCTTGAAATGCTAGCTTTGAATTGCAGGTTTTCTTCTTCCGTGCACACGGTTGTGTCCACTCCCGTCTGAGCCAACAGACTCTCTATCTTGCATTTTACAAACTCCATGGCCTCCTCTTCAGTATCAAAGTTTCCTAAAATGGCACTTAATGTCAATTTACAACAACCACGACAATTTAATTGTTTACACAAAACTTACCGAGAGTTCCGAGCAGATTAGTTTCTAACCATAACCAATCTTTCATAATTTCATTTCTGGTCAGAGCACAAGCCACTACTGAAATTTTAAAAATTTACATTGTAATGAATTTGATAATCTTTGAATCAATAAATTAATTAAACTATTGTTAACTTAGCTACTAGTAAGGTGATCCAATTCAGAAAGATCAAAGTATACACACTAGAAAGATTAACATGCTAAATGCACCCATCTTTATCTGGTATCTAGCTTTTCTCTTTCCTAACTTCATTAATTTGTGAGTAGCTAAGTTGATAATCCTACTAAATAAAGGTTAATACTGTAAACTAGCTTTGCTAATGGTATGGTTGTTTTATTTTTTGCTACAGGCCAAGCAAACTGCCCCAAGATCGCATAAGAGTTGATTACAGGTATTAGTTATATTCTACAGTAGTGATGCAAACAGCTGGATACAACCCAAGTCTAGAAGATAAAGATGTAAATGCCAAATGAAGAGAAAAAAGAAATGATTCTACAATTTAACCTTCTCAGCTTACAACCAGTTACCGTTTTAACAGCTACCAGTTTAAGCATCTTCTTGACTTGCTTAAACCTGTAGCTACTCTAGGGAAAATCAGCTCCCTTGACAAGTTACTGGTAAGACCAGGCAAATGAGAAACACCATATCATAGATCCTCACTAATGCTAAACAGTTCATATCTACTTTTTGACCTTTCCAGTTTTTATAAACTATTACTAGTTGGAGATTAATGGCTTAAGTTATCTCTCCATTCACTGGAAAAGAACAACAAAAGCCATACGTTGCTTATAGGAAATATGAGAGAGCCACAATCTTTATTAGACCAGTGTTTTATATAAAATGTTTAATTTCATAAAAGTAAATTGTACAAGTAGACTGTACAGGAGCCACGGTAAGGGTCTAGAAGTGGCTCAAGTAAAGTTTCACCACCATGGAACTTTATGCTAGTTATGCTAATAGTAATCTACTGTTATAAATAATCTGTATTTTGAGAAATTAATTAAATAACAATATAAAAATTTTAAAATTTAAAACAAAGATTAAAGTTGCAAAACATCAGAAGCATTTCGAATTATTGACGACGATAACTTACCATAACTAACTTCAGATAATATCGTCTGATGGAGGATTCTGTACGGTGGGGGCTATAATAATATATGTAAAAAATTAATCATTTGAAATTCTTGTTATATAAGTCATATTTTGAAATATTTAACAATAATTTTATATGATTAAATTTTAGAATATTGGAAAAACAAATATCATAAGTCAAACTTGTTGACATCTTATTATATACATAAGCTGTTTGAAGTAGATACTGCTCCTGATAATGACAAATCATTTTCTTAGCTCATCTGATTCAAAATACACAACAATTTACGTCTTGCTAATACAAACTGACTGTTAAAATACTTCTGGATCTTATTATCATCAAAATTTTAGATTTTGATGATAATAAGATAATTCAATCAATTAGTAAATTTTGCCAACTGTTTATAATTAAATGTGATGCTACTAAGCTTTTACAATCAGTAAGTAATACAATATCTACCTTTTATCTAACCAAGAATTAGAATTAGTAGCAAAAAGATAGAAAAATACTCAAATATACAGAGTATCCCAAAAGTCAGTTAACAGGAAATTAAATCTAAATTGAAGGATAAATAATGATGAGCAGCAGTACCAAATTCAGTTTTGACTCTATTTAAAATTATTGTAATATAAATCCTTGTTAACTTTTTTTTATTAATTAGATACAAGTGACAAAGTATACATACCCAGTACATACAGCTGGGTGGTGAACTACATACAGTCATCATTGTACAAAAAAGATGCTAAATACTGTATAACATCTGTTTGTACAATTTAACACCATAACATAAATATGAATGGTATGGGCAAGAGTGAAAGAACTCTGTCACTACTTGCAATGCATGGGACTTAACACAATGAAAGGGTTAGGTAACTTCCCAGAAAACTGACACTGTTCAGTATAATTTTTGCACTATAGTCCATTTGAAATGTAAGTCTATAAGAGTTTTGAAGGATGCATAGATTTCTTTGTCTTGCAGGGGAAGGCTTTTATTACATGGCCTATATGTTTGTAGCCTAAAATCTGCTGTAAGTCCTTCCTTTCTTTTTCGACTATAGGGCAGTTGAACAGGTAGTGGTCGCTTCCATCGGTTTTGTCACAAATAGAGCACTTATCAGTAATTTTGAACCTGTGTAAGGAGCTTTGAAAGCAGTCACGGTTTGTTATAAATTGAGTTGTATTGTTATCGATTTTGAACCAATTCATCTTGTAGAAATTTTTAATGTCTGGTAAGTATGAGTAAGTTGTTTCATTATGAAAGTTGTCCCAAAACATTTGCCATTCTTTTAAAATATAGTTTTTTTTTTTATAGAGTTGAATCCTGTTACATGTGGTAATTTGCTGCATATTATGGTATTTTCTTGGTTGGTGGCTGCCTTCTTTGCTAATTCGTCAGCTCTTTCATTGCCAATATTTCCCTGGTGTCCTCTCAGTCAATTAAGGGAAAGGCACAATTTGAATTTTGTAGCATAGTATTATTATTATTTGTAATTGGGTGAGTATCATTGTTCTGAATTATGTAAACAGCTGAATGACTGTCAGAATATATGTTAACGTTATGATGAGGGTATTTAGCAATACAGTCTCAATTGCAGTGGCAATCGCCAGCAGTTCTGCTTGTGTAACACTGCATGTATCATCTAATTGAGAAGTTTACTCTCAATTTCCATATATTTATGATATGTTACATGAATGCCACCAACATTATTGTCAATTTTAGATCCGTCTGTGTATATGTCTATACGATTGTCTGTCAATGGTTCAGAGTAGTGATTGCAAATTTATTGGGTATTACATTACTGCTAATTCAGTAACAATATTCAAATTATCGGTTTATGTTTATTGGTAATTTACCAGTAAATTCATGTTAACAAACGATTTAAAACGAATCTGAATTACTGACAAATTATTGAATAACCATTTATTTTCAAGTTTTCTATCAGTTTACACAAACAACATTCTTGTAATAGCAATTATTATGACATAACAGACATTGAAATAATGCTGATTATTAATTATGTCTTTCTTTATTTTGAAAGTAGGCTCTTAAAAAACATAATACATTTAGTTAATTACATACCTCAAAGCCTGTTACAGGTGTGAAATTAACATCAAAGAACGAAAAAACAGACTTCCACAAATGTTTTCGAACCCTTAACAGTTCTTCTTTCGCGCCGCCTGAAGAAGGGTTCAAAAAGCATTTGTGGAAGTCTGTTTTTTGTTCTTTGATGTTAATTTCACACTGGTAACAAGCTTTCAGGTACATAATTAACTGCATTCCAGTGTTGAGTAGTGTGGATTTATAACATTTAGGCTCTTGTCATCTAATCTAGATCTAATTTATGTACCAATGGAACTGCATTAGAAAAAGCTCTCTTGGAATCAATACTAGTTGGACGTACTGTCATTGGAGCATTGCAAACCTTCTTACGATACATTTCTTGTACTTTTTGCTCTAAGAAATAATTAATTTCTTTCTTAACTTTATCCTTCACACTTTTAAATTTACTTAAATTACTGTTATCAGTGACTAAGCTTGTTTTATGTTTAATGAATAAGTCCAATTTTTCTTTCATTGTTAAATTTGACTTTTCTATTGTGCACTTTGTTCTCATGTCAACATGGTGTGGTAAACAATGAACACATCTCACCAGAATTTGAGTCTAAACTAATTTCAATGACATCCGCAGGTCATGATTCATTTTCTGATAAGTGCTTGATTATTTCTACAATCCCATTCAAAATTATATTTTTGTTAACATTACTGGATATTTCATGTGACATATTTGTTGAATTTTTCTGGGTTATTTTCCTGTATTAGACTCCAAAAACAAAACCCATTTTTGGAGTACAGAAAATCAAGTAATAAACAGACTAAAAAATTCTTTTTAGTAACCAAATTACAAATGGAATGACCAATCACCATCTGCACTGTTGTCTCGCTATGGTATCAGATTAGACAAAAGGGAAATCTGCTTCCCACGGGTATTTCCTGTGGGAATTTTAGGAAAATAAATATTGGGTTAAGAGGTTTTTTTTAACTGAAATACCGGTAAAAAATTTATTACCGATGAATTTACTGAGATAAAATTTTCCTAATTTACCAGTATTCTGGTTACCAGTAATGCAATCACTAGTTCAGAGTAAAAATATTTTCTTTTACTTCAGTTCAGGATAAGTGTGCAAGGGATCTTCCATTCAAAATCGTCTTTTTTAAGTCTCTCATCCCCAATAGTGATGTCATTATCGTGTTTCAGTTTCCATTTTAATGCATAGTATTTGATTTACAGATCCATGGGGGCTTTTCTAGCAATTATCTGGAGGCTGTTAGTAGGAGTTGTACTGTAACCTTTGGTGAGAATCAGTAGTGCTTTCCTTTGGGTTGATATTAGTTTCCTTTTATTTTGTATTTTGTGAGTGGCTTCTTCCCATTGGACAAGCATAGGTAATTATTGGAATAAAATTCCAATAATTACCTATGCCTGTCCAGTGGCCACAATAAATTAAGTAAATTGAGTCCATAGCATTAGAGTCAAGCCCCCGGTTGCTTTTAGTGACTTTAGAGAAAGGTTGAAAGATTAATCCTGTTTCCTTACAAATGTTCTCAATATGTGTAGTCCAAAGAAGCTTAAAGTCAAGTGTAATCCCTAAATATTTAATGTTTTTCTCTATTTTTATCCATCTGAATTTTTGGTACTCTCTTGTAAAAGTTTTGAGCACCTGGCATGTTCCAGACAATTCCTGTCATTTTTCCTGGATTGAAGATCAGCTTGTTTTTCTCTCCCCTTTCGCTTATTTTTGACACAGCCTGCTTTCCTTTCCTTTCCTTTCGAGTTCTGCTCTAGAGTCACCTGAGTGCATCATCTTCATATGCAATAATTTTGTCTTACCTGAAGTCCTGGGTCAAAAAATCATTGAAAAGGACGCATCATAGAAGCAGCCCACAAGCCAAGCCCTGTGGACAGCCCCTATTATACTCATTCATAAAAGTAATATTCCCTGTTTTGATGGCAATAGTTCTCTCATAAAGGTATTCTTTCATCAGTAGATAGATGTTTGTGGGACATTGTAGTTGTCTGAGTCTATAAAGAATCAGTGGCCACCATGCACTGTCGAATGCCTTCTGAATGTCTATACTAAGTTCCAAATCCCAAAACATTTATTTCTGTGAAGTAGTCCTTTAATGTTGTTGACTGCCATAGTGATAGAATGAACGGTTGACCTTGGTTTTCTAAAACCATACTGATTGTCATTCAGTAGGTTATTTGACTCAAGGTGCCAAGAGAGTCTGTTTGTAAGCAGTGTTTCCATTACTTTCCTAGTGCAAGTAACTGAGAAATTGGTCTGTAATCTCTAGGTTTATTTACTTTAGGAACAAGTACCAACTTAGATCTCTTCCATTCCCTGGGAAGATGCTGAAATGTAGGCAATATTGAAGAGGTAAAGAAGTGTCAGGTTTATATTCCAAATTTGTTTGATGATCTCTGGGTAATTCTGTCGAGCACGAAGATCTTTCTGTTATTCAGGTTAGTGATTACTTTGCCAACTTCTTCCCGTATGAATGGGAGTGTGTTAGGGATGTTAATATCTATGTTTATCTTGTCTCCAATTTCACTATGAATGTCAAGATCTTCATTTTCATTGTTGTCTACACATATTTTTTGAAATATAGCTTTGATGGTAGTTTTCAGATCATTTGTATGTCTTTCTGTAGTTTCCACGGTGGTCACGGCTTCCATTCTTCTTAATCTGTTACAGCTCCACTTGGTAAGAAACCCCCAAGGATCTTTGCTAGTTCTAGTGCAGTATTCTCTCCAAGATTTCAATTTAGAATCTTTTATATCGTTTTTGTATTCTTTTTGTAGCTATAAATATTGTTGTTTGTAGATTGATCTTTGTGTGTCCTCTAGTTTTTTAATACTTTTTTCTGAGGGTGTTATTTCTAAGCCTCAGTTCAGACAGAGTATCATTCCACCAGGAGACCGCTTTATTCTTGGCTCTGTATTTTGGTATAGCAACCTCATATGCATCCTTAATAATTTTGAGATTTTG